GGAGGCAGAGGTTGCAGGGAGCCGAGATTATGCAATTGTACTTCAGCCTGGCCATGAGAACAAGACTCCGTCTCAAAAAAATAAAATAATAATAAATAACATCTATTTTCACTACCGCTTAAAGCATTAGTAACCCTGTCTGAAACAGGCCATGGCTAATAGAATCAGCTGTTGAGCATTTGTGTCACAGGAAAGGATTCATGGCTTTTGTTTGGGAATGATTTTAATACATACTAAACATAGTCTCATGCTTTTATGCAAATGTTAAAATCAGAGTTCTTGGTGAGAAAGGAAAGCCAATCTAGAATAAAAACTTAGGCCGGGCACAGTGGCTCATGCTTATAATCTCAGCACTTTAGGAGGCCGAGGAGGGTGGATCACCTGAGGTCAGGAGTTCAAGACCAGCCCGACCAACTTGGTGAGCCCCATCTCTACAAAAATAAAAAAATTAGCCGGGCGTGATGGCGAGTGCCTGTAATGCCAGCCACTCAGGAGGCTAAGGCAGGAGAATTGCTTGAACCCAGGAGGTGGAGGTTGCAGTGAGCCAAGATGGCTGCTTGCATACCAGCATGGGCAACAGAGTAAGACTGCATCTCAAAAACTAATTAAGTAGGCCGGGCTCGGTGGGCCTGTAATCACATCTATTTTCAAGAGGCCAGGCCTCACTTTGGGAGGCTGAGGTGGGCAGATCACAAGGTCAGGAGTTCAAGACCAGCCTGACCAACATGGTGAAACCCCATCTCTACTAAAAATTTAAAAATTAGCTGGGCGTGGTGGCGGGGCACCTGTAATCCCAGCTACTTGGGAGGCTGAGGCAGGAGAATCGCTTGAAACCAGAAGGCGGAGGTTGCAGTGAGCTGAGATCGCGCCATTGCACTCCAGCTTGGGCGAAAGAGCAAAAGTCTCAAAAATAATAATAAGTAAGTAAAAAGTTACCAGCCATAAAAAGAATTAATCTGTTTTCTATTGTGTTGAATATTATCTCTTTTTCAAGAGATAAGGGGTATGTCTCTTCTCTTTGTCCCTAAAAATGAGCTACCTTGTCTGAAAAAATGAAAGGTCCAAGGCCTGGAGCAGTGGCTTACACCTGTAATCCCAGCACACTTTGGGAGGCCAAGGCGGGCGGATCACTTGGGGTCAGGAGTTGGAGACCAGTCTGGCCAACATGGCAAAACCCCGTCTCTACTAAAAATACAAAAATTAGGCTGGCATGGTGGCAAGTACCTGTAATCAATTGCTTGAACCTGGGAGGCAGAGGTTGCAGTAAGCCAAGATCGTGTCACTGTACTCCAGCCTGGGTGATAGAGCAAGAGTCTGTCTCAAAAAGATGAAAGGTCCTAGTAAAAACTGCTTAGAAGGCCAGGCACAGTGGCTCATACTTTTAATCCCAACACTTTGTAGAGCTGAAGTGGAGAGATTACTTGAGCCCAGGAGTTTGAGACCAACCTGGGCAACATAGCAAAACCCTGTCTCTACTAAAAATACGAAAATTAGCTAGAAGTGGTGGCATGCGACTGTAGTCCCAGCTACTCAAAAGCTGAGGTGCGAGAATCACTTGTACCCAGAACGCAGAAGTTGCAGTGAGCCAAGGTCATGCCACTGCACTCTAACTTGGGCAACAGAGTAAGACACTGTCTCAAACAAAAAAAAAAAAAAAAATTGCTTAGAGCACTAATGAAAATGAACATACAGAGAGGCTGTAAAAGGGCATTTGGTCTAAAAGTCAGCAGAAGCTTGTTAAAAATTCACTCTCTTTGAAAGATAAATACTGAGTGATTCCAGTTATATGAGATACCTAGGTAGTCAAACTCAGACACAGTAAGTAGAACGATAGTTGCAGGAGCTGGAAGGGGGAAGAAGGAATTGTTCATGGGTATAGTTTCAGTTTTGCAAGATAAAAAGTGTTCCGGAAGTTGATTGCACAACACTGAATATACTTAATGCTACTGAACTGCAGCTGTGCACAGTGGCTCACGCCTGTAATCTCAGCACTTTGAGAGGCCGAGGTAGGTGGATCATGAGGTCAAGAGATAAGAACATCCTGGCCAACATGGTGAAATCCCATCTCTACTAAAAATACAAAAATTAGCTGGGTATGGTGGTGTGCAACTATAGTCCCAGCTACTCGGGAGGGTGAGGCAGGAGAATTGCTTAAACCAGGGAGGCAGAGGTTGCAGAGAGCCAAAATCGCACCACTGCATCCATCTTGGCGACAGAGCAAGATTCCTTCTTAAAAAATACTGAACTGTATATTTAAAAATGCTTACGATGGTAAATTTTATGTTACATATATTTTACCACAGTTTTTACAAAATTATTTTTGAAGGCCAAGGCAGGTGGATTACCTTAGGTCAGGAGTTCAAGACCAGCCTGGCCAATGCAGCAAAACCTATTTCTACTAAAAACACAAAAATTAGCTGGGCATTGTGGCGAGCACCTGTAATCCCAGCTACTCAGGAGGCTGAGGCAGGAGAATTGCTTGAACCTGGGAGGCAGAGGTTGCAGTGAGCCAAGATCATGCCACTGCACTCCAGCCTGGGCAACAGAGCAAGACTCCATCTCAAAAACAAAAAGAAATGTTTGATTTGTAGTTTCTAGGAATGCTTAATGGGTATAGTGAAGAGTATAGGCTTTGAAATCTGACAAACTTAGGTTTGAATCCCAGATCTGTCACTAGTTTTGTGAACTCATGCAAGCTAATTATTGGACCCTTAGTTTCCTAACCTGTAAAACAAGGTTATAACCTGTATGGGGGATACCTATTCTCTCAAAAAAAATCTTGCGCCAGGCACAGTGGCTCACACCTTTAATCCCTAGCACTTTGAGAGGCTGAGGTGGGTAGATCATGAGGTCAGGAGTTTGAGACCAGCCTGCCTAACGTGATGAAACCCCATCCCTGCTAATAATACAAAGATTAGCCAGGCATGGTGGCCCATGCCTGTAGTTCTGGCTACTCAGGAGGCTGAGGCAGGAGAATAGCTAGAACCTAGGAGGCAGAGGTTGCACTGAGCCCAGGTTGTGCCACTGCACTCCAGCCTGGGTGACAGAGCAAGGCTCTGTCTTGAAAACAAAAGCTTGAGCCAGAGGCAAGGACTCTGGGAAGTTCATTTCTCTGATACTAGTTATTTTTGGTGTGGGTGGGTGTGTCAGGGCACCCAAACAGGGCCTTTATTCTGTCACCCAGGCTGGAATTCTACTTTTTTAGAGTGTGTGTGAGAGAGAGAGACAGGATCTTACTCTTGCCCAGGCTGAAGAGCAATGGCACAGTTATGGCTCACTGCAGCCTCAAATTCTGGGCTCAAGCGATTCTCCTGCCTCAGCCTCCTGAGAAGCCAGGACTACAGGAGCTTGCCACCATAGGTGGCTAATTTTTTATAGAGATGGAGTCTCACTTTGTTTCCTAGACGTGTCTCAACTCTCCTGCACTCAAGCAGTCTCTGACGTCAGCCTTCCGCAGTGCTGAGATTACAGGTATAAATGACCATGCCCAGCCTCTCTGCTACTACTTTTTTTTTTTTCCTTTGAGATGGAGCCTTGCTCTGTCATCCACACTGGAGTGCAGTGGCATGATCTCGGCTCACTGCAGCCTCCCAAGTAACAGGCACCCGCCACCACACCCAGCTAATTGTTGTATTTTCAGCAGAGACAGGGTTTCACCATGTTGGCTAGGCTGGTCTCAAACTCCTGACCTCAAGCAATCCACCTGCTTCAGCCTCCCAAAGTGCTGGGATTACTGGCATGAGCCACTGCACCCGGCCTCTCTGCTACTTCTCAGCTACTAGATGGAGTTTTAGTAACTAGTTTACAAAATAGGACACATAAAACACAAATAACCATTTGTGGCTATTGCTGCGTTTATGGCCTGGGATAAGCCCTGAATTCTTTGATTAGTCATTTTGTCAATGACCTTCTCTCTCTCTTCAGGGTCAAAGCACGGATTGGGAGCTCTCAGCGACACCACCAGTCAGCAGCCAAAGACCTAACTCAGTCCCCCGAAGTCTCCCCAACAACCATCCAAGTGACATACCTCCCTTCCAGTCAGAAGAGTAAACGTGCCAAGCACTTCCTTGAATTGAAGAGCTTTAAGGACAACTATAACACATTGGAGAGTACTCTGTGACGGAGCCCCAGGTTAAGCCAGTCAGTTGCAATGTACAAGACAGACTCTTGCCAGGCTGCCCTCGCGACATCTGGCCCAGCGGCCCCAGACGGTATCCATTGAAGTTCTGTTGTATCCAGAGTTCTTAGAGCTTCTGCCTAAAGGGTAATTCCCTAACCCCTCCTTATGGGCATTTTTAGAACATTGGCTAAGACTATTTTCCCCCAGTAGCACTTTCTTCTGCATTTGCATTCAGGTGTTATTCTTAATGTTTCTGTCAAAGCTTCTTAAAAATCTTCACTTGGTTTCAGCCATAGTTCACCTACCTTGTTCCAGGCTTATTTAATTCCAAAGGTGAGAGTTGGAGTAAGACATCTTCCATATCTATACCTTTGTGCACAGTTGAATGGGAACTGTTTGGGTTTAGGGCATCTCAGAGTTGATTGATGGAAAAGGCAGACAGGAACTGGTGGGAGGGTCAAGTGGGCAAGTTGGTGGTATGTGGAACAACTGACCCTTGTGCTCCACTTAAACCAGATGTGTTGCAGCTTTCCTGACATGCAAGGATCTATCTACTTTCATGCCACACTCACAAATAAATTGAATCAAACGGAATGTTCTGGCACCTGACGTAATCTGCCAGGCTATAAGACAATAGGAAAGAATGATTTCCCCTAACAAGCCAATGCACTGGTCTGACTCTATAAATTATTTAGTAAAATGAACTATTATAAAATAAAACATGAATCAGTCCTTCACAGTTGTCTTTTAATAAAACAGGCATATATGTTATTTGTACATTTCTAACAGGGCATAGGGCATGCATGAGGATTTGCCTCTAAAGAATTGGTGGTACTGTGTGCATACCCTGGACCTAGGACCATGCAGATATCCCTTAAGACCCTAGCAGAAGAAATCCTAAAATTGGGACTGTGACTTGCTCATAGGATTGCCTGTGTCATCAGCAGAAGGCTACAGAACACGGATTCTCTTAAGGTTTCTGGGGCAACAGCCCAGGTGGCCAGTCAACTCCTAGGCTCAGGGTCATTGTTGGAGGCATAAATGTTGCTATGACTACTGAAACCTCGGTTACGGAACTAAACAGAAAGAAGAGCCTGTCAGTCTCCTCAGACTGTATCAAGCAAATCTATAAACATGTCTGTGGAAAAGATGACAAAAGTAGAAGAGGTATGCAGAGTTGGAAGGAGGGGCTGGGTTGAAGTTTGATGAGGTTTCCAGAGCAATTTACTGTAAGTGCATCTTTTACCGGGAAAGGCTTTTGATGTAACAAGGGTATACTATACTTAGTAACAGGAGTGGGAGGCTAAGTCTAGTACATAGTAGGTATTCAAAGATGTGCTCCATCCAACCCCTGCATGTTTTCTTTGATCCATTCTGAAAGAAGTAGAGCTTTCCTCTTCCTATCGCTCCTAGGAAATTGACTGCTTTCTCTCTCAAAAAGGTCTAAGTCTCATTAGAATAGGGTTCTAGAGGTGAGGTTCTTGAGACTGAGGCAGATCAACAGAACTACCTTTTCTTGCAGAGTTTTCAAAGGGTCATGGGACTTAAGAAGATGGTCAACAGGTAATCTGCTTCTATACCCTCTCTTTACCTTTGAGCTTGACCTTTCCACTCTACTGTCCTCCCTGAGCCACCTCCCAACTCTGCTGCGTCTCTTTAGGGGCTTGTCAAACAGAAAAACGTGGAAAGGGGGAGAAGCAGCTTTGTTCTCAAAGCAAACGAGATCAGCTTCTTAGCGCCCATTAGATTAGGTTTTTATTGTCCCCTGCTTCCCATTCTCTGGAGGAAAATTGAAGCTTGTTTTATTTTTATTAAGAATTCAACACTGTGGCTCACGCCTGAAATCCCAGCACTTTGGGAGGCCAAGGCAGGTGGATCACAAGGTCAGGAGTTCGAGACCAGCCTGGCCAATATGGTGAAAATGCAAAAGGTCTCTATTAAAAATGCAAAAAAATTAGCCAGGCGTGGTCACAGGTGCCTGTAATCCCAGCTACTCAGGAGATGGAGGGTGCCTTGAGCCAAGATTGCACCACTGCACTCCAGCCTGGGCAGTAGAGCAAGTATGACTCCGTCTCAGAACAAAAAAAGAATTCAAGTATTTGTTACCTGGTTTTGTACTAATCATGTAGTTGGTAGTGCAGTATTTGTTGAATCAGTGAATGAGAAGATTCACAAGACCGGACTGATTATCATTTTCACCTGATGAGCTTTTGAAAATATGCTGATGCGGCCGGGTGCGGTGGCTCACGCCTATAATCCCAACACTTTGGGAGGCCAAGGCAGGTGGATCACGAGGTCAAGAGATCAAGACCATCCTGGTCAACATGGTGAAGCCCCATCTCTACTAAAAATACAAAAATTAGCTGGGCATGGTGGTGCACGCCTGTAGTCCCAGCTACTCGGGAGGCTGAGGCAGGAGAATTGCTTGAACCCAGGAGGTGGAGGTTGCGGTGAGCCGAGATCGTGCCATTGCACTCCAGTCTGGGTAACAACAGCGAAACTCCATATCAAAAATAAATCAATAAATGAAAATATGCTGATGCAAGCCTGCCATGGTGGGTCACACCTATAATCCCAGCACTTTGGGAGGCCAAGGCGGGGGATTGCTTTAGCCCAGGAGTTTGAGACCAGCCTGGGCAAAATTAGCCAGGTGTGGTATTGTATACCTATAGTCTCAGCTACTCAGGAGGCTGAAGCAGAAGGATCATTTGAGCCTGGGTCAAGGCTGCATGGCAAGATCCCCATTTCTACCAAAAAATTTAGTTGAAATAAATAAATACTGATGCCTAGTTCTTACCCTAGGAGATTCTGATTAAAATGGTCTGAGATGGGATAAGAGAAGCCTTTTTTTAAAGTTTCAAAGGTTATATCCAGAGCTAGCAAGGATGTGAAGAAACGAAAACATGTAATTTTAATAGGAGTCTAGGTTGATACAGCCATGTTTACAAAGGCAGTTTGATAAAATCTATCAAAATTTGAATTCACATATCTGTTGACCTGGCAAAAATAGGAATTTACCTTATATATACATACTAGGAAAAGCACTGGAAGGTACATACATAAGAATGTTCATGACAGTATTGCTTTTATTTACTTAGAGACAGAATTGAGTCCTTGTTTCCCAGGCTGGAGTGCAGTGGCATGATAGCTCACTGCAACCTTTGCCTCCCGGGTCCAAGAAATTCTCCTGCCTCAGCCTCCTGAGTAGCTGGGATTACAGTTGCCCACCACCACACCCAGCTAATTTTTGTATTTTCAGTAGAGATGGGGTTTCACCATGTTGGCCAGGCTGGTCTTCATCTCCCGACCTCAGGTGATCCACCTGCCTCGGCCTCCCAAAGTGCTGGGATTACAGATGTGAGCCACCACATCTGGACAGGTTTTTTTTTTTTGAGACAGGGTCTCACTGTGTTACCCAGACTAGTCTTGGACTCCTGGGCTCAAGTAATATGTGGCCTATAGACTCCAGAGTAGCTGGGAATTACAGGTGTGTGCTGCCATGCCTGGCAAGCATTGTTTATAAAAGTAAAAAAGCTAGAAAACCTAGTTGGTTAAATTGTACGTGCAGCCACCTTTAAACTAAATGAAGTAAATCTCAATGCACTAATATGAAAAGTTAAGGCTGGGCACAGTGGCTCACAACTGTAACAGGAGAATCACGCCTGTGGCAGGCGAATCACTTGAACCCAGGCGGCGGAGGCTGTGGTGAGCCGAGATCACACCATTTCACTCCAGCCTGGGCAACAAGAGCAAAACTCTGTCTCAAAGAAGAAGAAAGATGTACGTGCCAGATTATGCTACAAAAGTTTTGGCTGGGTGCGGTGGCTCATGTCTGTAATCCCAGCACTTTGGGAGGCCGAGGTGGGCGGATTGCTTGAGGCCAGGAGTTCAAGACCAGCCTGGCCAACATGGCAAAACCCAGTCTCCTAAAAAAAAATACAAAAATTAGCTAGGCTTGGGCTGGGCACAGTGGCTCACACCTGTAATCCCAGCACTTTGGGAGGCCAAGGTGGGTGGACCACCTGAGGTCAGGAGTTCAAGACCAGCCTGACCAACATGGAGAAACCCTGTCTCTACTAAAAATACAGAATTGGCTGGGCACGGTGGCTCAAGCCTGTAATCCCAGCACTTTGGGAGGCCGAGACGGGTGGATCACAAGGTCGAGAGATCAAGACCATCCTGGTCAACATGGTGAAACCCCGTCTCTACTAAAAATACGAAAAATTAGCTGGGCATGGTGGTGCGTGCCTGTAATCCCAGCTACTCAGGAAGCTGAGGCAGGAGAATTGCCTGAACCCAGGAAGCGGAGGTTGCGGTGAGCCGAGATCGCACCATTGCACTCCAGCCTGGGTAACTAGAGTGAAACTCCGTCTCGGGAAAAAAACAAAAAAAAATTAGCTGGGCATGGTGGCGCGTGCCTGTAATCCCAGCTACTCGGGAGGCCGAGGCAGGAGAATTTCCTGAACCCAGGAGGCGGAGGTTGCGTTGAGCCGAGATCGCGCCATTGCAGTCCAGCCTGGGTAACAAAAGTGAAACTCCGTCTCAAAAAAAAAAAAAAAAAATACAGCATTACCCAGGCATGGTGGCGCATGCCTGTAATCCCAGCTACTTGGGAGGCTGAGGCAGGAGAATTGCTTGAACTCAGGATGCAGAGGTTGCAGAGAGCTGAGATCATGCTGTTGCACTCCAGCCTGGGCAACAAGAGAGAAACTCCATCTCAAAAAAAAACAGCCGGGCATGATAGCAGGTGCCTATATTCCCATCTACTCAAGAGGCTGAAGCAGGAGAGTCGCTTGAACCCTGGAGGTGGCAGTTGTAGTGAGCCAAGATTGTGCCATTGCACTCAAGCCTGGGGGACAGAGCAAGACTCCATTTCAAAAAAAAAATTCTGGAAACATGCCCAAGTGGCTGGGTATGATGGCTTACCTGTAATCCCAGCACTTTGGAAGGCCAAGGCAGAGGATCACTTGAGCCCAGGAGTTTGAGACTGGGCAACATAATGAGACCCCCGTCTCTACAAAAAATAAAAATTAGCCAGGCACAGACCAGGTGCAGTGAGTGGCTCATGCCTATAATCCCAGCACTTTGGAAGGCCAAGACAGGCAGATCATGAGGTCAAGAGATCGAGACCATCCTGGCCAACATAGTGAAATCCCATCTCTACTAAAAATACAAAAATTGTCCAGGTGCTGTGTCTCATGCCTGTAATCGCAGCACTTTAGGAGACTGAGGTGGGTGGATCATGAGGTGAGGAGTTCAAGACCAGCCCGGCCAAGATGGTGAAACCCCATCTCTACTAAAAATACAAAAAAAAATTAGTAGGGCATGGTGCATGTGCCTATAGTCTGAGCTACTCAGGAGGCTGAGGCAAAGAATTGCTTGAACCTACCAGGCGTGGTGGTGCATGCCTGTAGTCCCAGTTGTTCGGGAGGCTGAGACTAGAGGATCTATTGAGACCAGTAGTTCTGGGCTGTAGTGCACTACGCCAGTCGGGTGTCCGCACTAAGTTCAGCATCAATATGGTGACCTCCTGGGAGCGGGGGACCACCAGCAGGTTGCCTAAGGAGGGGCGAACCAGCCCAGGTGGGAAATGGAGCAGGTCAAAACTCCCATGCTGATTAGTAATGGGATCTCACCTGTGAATAGCCACTGCACTCCAGCCTGGGCAACATAGCGAGACCCCATCTCTATTTAAAAAAAAAGAGGCCGGCACAGTGGCTCACGCCTGTAATCCCAGCACTTTGGGAGGCCGAGGCGGGTGGATCACGAGGTCAGGAGTTCGAGATCAGCCTGGCCAACATAGTGAAACCCCGTCTCTAGGAAAAAAATAAAAATTTTTAACAATTTAAAAATTAAAGAATTGCTTGAACCTGGGAGGCAGAGGCTGTAGTGAGGTGAGATCATGCCAGTATACTCCAGCGTGGGTGACAGAGCAAGATTCCGTCTCAAAAATAAATAAATAAAATACAAAAATTAGCTGGGTGTGGTGGTGGGTGCCTGTAATCTCAGCTACTCAGGAGGCTGAAGCAGGAGAATTGCTTGAGTCCGGGAGGCAGAGGGTTCAGTGAGCTGAGAATGCACCACTCTACTCCAGCCTGGGTGACAGAGCAATACTCTGTCTCAAAAAAAAAAAAAAAAAAAAAAAGCCAGGCACACACCCGTTGTCCCAGCTACTTAGGCAGCTGAGGTAGGAGGATTGCTTGAGACCAAGAGGTTGACACTGTAGTAAGCCATAATCACCCCACTGCACTCCAGCCTAGGCAACAGAATGAGACCCTGTCTCAAAAAAATATGTATATATACAGAAGTCAGCTGGGCATGGTGGCACATGCCCGTAATCCCAGCTACCCAGGAGGCTGAGGCAGGAGAATTGCTTGAACCTGGGAGGCAGAGGTTGCAGTGAGATCAGATTGAGCCACTGCACTCTTGCCTGGGCTACAGAGCAACACTCTGACTCAAAAAAAAAAAAAAAAAAGAAAAGAAAAAGACCTCAGTCATTCCCAACAAAGTAGCAGTTTCTCATGCAAATACATCATCTATATACATATATGAATAATTTTTTTACTTAACATGAAGGCCAGGGGTGGTGGTTCACGCCTGTAATTCCATCACTTTGGTAGGCCAATGGGGGCAGATCACAAGGTCAAGAGGTCAAGACCATACTGGCCAAAATGGTAAAACCCTGTTATCTATTAAAAATATAAAAATTGGCCGGGCGCGGTGGCTCAAGCCTGTAATCCCAGCACTTTGGGAGGCCGAGGCGGGTGGATCACGAGGTCAAGAGATTTGAGACCATCCTGGTCAACATGGTGAAACCCCGTCTCTACTAAAAATACAAAAAATTAGCTTGGCATGGTGGCGCGTGCCTGTAATCCCAGCTACTCAGGAGGCTGAGGCAGGAGAATTGCCTGAACCCAGGAGGCGGAGGTTGTGGTGAGCTGAGATCGCACCATTGCACTCCAGCCTGGGTAACGAGCGAAACTCCATCTCAAAAAATAAATAAATAAAGTAAAATAAAATACAAATGTATATCTTTAAATATATATATATATCTTACAGGCATGTGCCACTATGCCCAGCTGATTTATATATATAAATCCCAGCTACTCAGGAGGGTGTAATCCCAGCTACTCAGGAGGGTGTAATCCCAGCTACTCAGGAGGGTGAGGCAGCAGAATCACTTGAACCTGGAAGGTGGAGGTTGCAGTGAGCTGAAATCATGCCACTGCACTCCAGCCTGGTGACAAGAGTGCCACTCTGTCCCAAAATAATAATAATAATTAACTTGAGTAGGTGAGACCCACCACCATGCCCAGCTTATTTTTATATTTTTAGTAGAGATGGGGTTTCACCATGTTGGCTAGGCTGGCCTCGAACTCCTGCCTGACCTTGAGTGATCCACCCGCCTTGGCCTCCCAAAGTGCTGGGTTACAGGCGTGAGCCACTGTGCCTGGTTAGAGATAACTGTTTTTTTTTTTTTTTTTTTTGAGACAGAGTCTCTCTGTTTTAAGACAGTCTTACTTTGTCACCCAGGCTGGAGTGCAGTGGTACAATCCTGGCTCACTGCAGCCTCCACCTCCCAGGTTCAAGTGCTTCTCATGCCCCAGCCTCCTGGGTAGCTGGGATTACAGGTGCATGCCACCATGCCAGGTTAGTTTTTGTATTTTTAGTAGAGATGGGGTTTCACCATGTTGACCAGGCTGGTCTTGAACTCCTGGCCTTGAGTTATCCACCTGCCTTGGCCTCCCAAAGGGCTGGGATTACAGGCTGAGCCTGTGCACCCAGACAATTTTTGCTCTTAATTTAATAGATTTCTGTGTGGATTCAATTTTTTCAACATGTGGAAAATGTACTTTTGATTTTTTAAAAATCCCAACAGTGAATATATACCGGGAGATGGAGGCTACAGTGAGCCGAGATTGCGCCACTGCACTCCAGCCTGGCCAACAGAGGGAGACTCTGTCTCAAAAGAAAAAAAAATTAGCTGGGCATGGTGGCAGGCACCTGTAATCCCAGCTACTCGGGAGGCTGAGGCATGAGAATTGTTTGAACCTGGGAGGCAGAGGTTGCAGTGAGCCAAGATTGCGCCATTGCACTCTAGCCTGGGCAACTGAGCGAGACTATTTCTCAAAAAAAAAAAAAAAAAAAAAAAAAAAATTAAACCTCAATGAAGATTCCAGTCTAGGCCGGGCGCGGTGGCTCACCCCTATAATCCCAACACTTTGGGAGGCCAAGGCGGGTGGATCACTAGGTCAAGAGATCGAGACCATCCTGATCAACAAGGTCAAACCCCGTCTCTACTAAAAATACAAAAATTAGCTGGGCATCGTGGTGCGCTCCTGTAGTCCCAGCTACTCGGGAGGCTGAGGCAGGAGAATTGCCTGAACCCAGGAGGCAAAGGTTGTGGTGAGCCGAGATTGTGCCATTGTACTCCAGTCTGGGTAACAACAGCGAAACTCTGTCTCAAAAAAAAAAAAAAAGAAGATTCCAGTCTAGCCAGGACTGAGAATCACTAGTATGATAGAAGGGATATTAGCTTTAGAGAAATTGGAGTTGAGGCCGGGCATGATGGCTCACACCTGCAATCCCAGCACTTTGGTATACCAAGGTAGGTAGATCTCCTGAAGTCAGGAGTTGGACACCATCCTGGCCAACATGGCGAAACCCTGTCTCTACTAAAATATAAAAATTAGCCAGGCGTGGTGAAGCATGCCTGTAGTCCCAGCTACTCAGGAGGCCAAGGCAGGAGGATTGCTTGAACCCTGGAGGCAGAGACTGCAGTGAGCCAAGATCACACCACTGCACTCTATCCTAGATGACAGAGTGAAACTCTGGATTTGAGACCCAGGTCTGCCATTGAGTGACCTTGAGCATCTCACAACTTTTAGTTTCCTTGTCTGTATTAGGTAAAAATTAATGCCTATGCCACATAGTTATCGTAGTGATTAAATGATATAATGTACTTAATACATACTAGGTTCTAAATTACCCTTTTTTTTTTTTTTTTTGAGACGGAGTTTTGCTTTTGTTACTCAGACTGGAGTGCAATGACGTGATCTCGGCTCACTGCAATCTCCGCCTCCTGGGTTCAGGCCATTCTGCCTCAGCCTCGTGAGTAGCTGGGATTATAGGCACGCGCCACCGTGCCCAGCTAATTTTTGTATTTTTAGTAGAGATGGGGTTTCACCATGTTGACCAGGATGGTCTCGATCTCTTGACCTCGTGATCCACTCGCCTCGGCCTCCCAAAGTGCTGGGATTACAGGCGTGAGCCACCGCGCCCGGCCTAAATTACCCTTTTAAGGATTTTAGTCTTCTGACAGTAGGACAGACATTCCAGGACAGCCTCACTCTGTGGGGGTTTTTGTCTCTCCTCCTAACTCTTAACCCATTCAACCCCTGCCTCTGTACCCGGAGCAGGTGGCGAAATGCACATACTGACTGTCTGTGGCAAATGACATTGGCCCAGAGAAGAAACCCGTATGCCACCCTAAAGATGCAGGACACCATGGCACAAGAATTGGCACTGGCCAAAAAGCAATTACTAATGGTGAGTTCTAGCAGGGCAGCCTGACGCCTCATTCATTACTGCCCTGTGTGTTTGCCCACTGAGTTTTCCAAGCTCTTAGTGTGTGTCATTGCGCATTTATCTTGTTTGCCTGTAGGTTTTCAGCATTACACCAGAGCAACACAACTCTAACCCCGTTGCCAGAACTCTTTATCTTTTGATTCTTTGCATCCACCTTATAGGTAGCACATCTTAAAGTCCCAAAGTATACTCTAGTTCCTGCTCCTTTCATCTTGGAGACTCAAAACTGCATCTTAGGCTGGGCACCGTGGCTCATGCCTGTAATCCCAGCACTTTGGGAGACCAAGACGGGCAGATTGCTTGAGCCCAGGAGTTTGAGATCAGCTTGGCCAACATGGTGAAACCCCGTCTCTACTAAAAACACAAAAATTGGCTAGGCGTGGTGGCACATGCCTATAATCCCAGCTACTTGGGAGGCTGAGGCATGAGAACCGCTTGAACCGAGGCAGAGGCTGCAGCGAGCTGAGATTGTGCCACTGCACTCCAGCCTGGGTGACAGAGTAAGACTGAGTCTCAAAAACAAACAAACTGCCTCTTAGTGCGTATCTCTCTCTCTTCCGGGGTCCCAAGTTGCTGTCATGTAATCATCTTTGTTTCTTTGTTTTTGTTTTTGAGATGCAGTCTCACTCTGTTACCCAGGCTGGAGTGCAGTGGCGTGATCTCAGCTCACTGCAACCTCCACCTCCCAAGTTCAAGCAATTCTGCTGCCTCAAGTAGAGTAGTGATTCTACTGCCTCAAGTCTCGAGTAGTCCTGAGTAGTAGGACTACAGGCACGTGCCAGCACGCCTGGCTAATTTTTTGTATTTTTAGTAGAGACGGGGTTTCACCCTGTTAGCCAGTATGATCTCCATCTCCTGACATCGTGATCCACCCGCCACAGCCTCCCAAAGTGCTGGGATTACAGGTGTGAGCCACCGTGCCTGGCATGTAACCAATTTTGTATGCCAGTTACCTAATAGAGTTTCTGGTTCATGGTATGTTCTCAGCAAATATTTGCCGAACATAGGGCTTCGACCATGAAGAAAAAAATTAGATAGGCTTCCCCTCCACTGGTTCAGCCTCTCTGCTACCACCTAGCTTTACGTCACAACTAAGTCCAGCTCCAAAAGAACACAAGTAATGGGAAAGCAACTAGGGAGAAAGAATAAGAAAGGGTGGTAAACAGAAGCAAACACCATACTCTATTCTGTCCTCTCTACCAGGTTCGTCAAGCTGCCCTGCACCAGCTGTTTGAAAAGGAGCATCAGCAGTACCAGCGGGAGTTAAATCAGATAGGCAAAGCTTTTTATGTAGAGAGACTGTGATGGCATCCGAAACACTGTTCTTCCTTTCTCAATGTGCCTGCTAACCTAGCCTTCTAGAGCCTCTACCACCTTGAACCTCCTTCCCAAAACATACCCGGACTATGTGCCTTGGACTTCAGACAGTGCTCCCACTCCCACTTCTCCACTCTTGTTAATCCCTTGCTACTGTTTGGGAAACAATCTATGAAACAACGGTTAAAACAAGAGTGACGCCTTGTGGTCAGAGTGGGATTGACTGTGTTGATGTAAGGGGGCAGGGGTGAGGAGGGGTGGACAAAGTGAGTTGAGAATCCTGATTTGGTATAACAAATAAAATTAGTTCATAAAGGCTCAAACTTAGACCACTGGGCTCATTCTTTCCGTCTAAATCTTGATTTGTTTCGAAAGTGTTTATTTTTCAGTTACCATAATCTTAACTTCCTGGATTTTGCTCGCCACTTCTCAGATACCGCTTTCACTTATCTTTTCTGTATATTTGGACAAATTGCTCTGAATGTGGCTATTAACCTAAAGGCACTGTGGTGCTTGCATGACAGGAGGGCTGCATTTTGGGTTTTGAGTCAGCCAGCTATTGTGAAATTTTGGACAAGTCTCTTTTCTCTGGGCCTGAATTCCCACCTATGCCAAGTGAGAGGATTCCAAACTTAAATGCTTCCAGGGGTCAGGCAGGCAATGTGGTATTTGTAAGGAAATAAGGAGTGGTGGGATTTGTAGGGGGCTGGAAAGAGCAGTCAAAATAAAGGCACTTGAAATTCTGAAAAATACTGAAACATACAGATTGACCGTGTGTGTCATATGAAGCCCATAGACAACTTTACTTACAAGGGTCCACTTTACAGGCTGGGTGTGGTGGCTCACACCGGGTAATCCCAGCACTTTGGCAGGCTGAGATGGGTGGATCACCTGAGGTCAGGAGTTCAAGACAAGCCTGATCAGCCATGGCCAACATGGTGAAACTCCATCTCTACTAAAAGTACAAGAAATTAGCCAGGTGTGGTGGCAGGCACCTATAGTCCCAGCTACTCGGGAGGGTGAGGCAGGAGAATCACTTGAACTTGGGAGGCAGAGGTTGCAGTGAGCTGAGATCGCACTATTGCACTACAGCCTGGGTGACAGAAAGAATCCATCTCAAAAATAAAAACGGTCTACTTTACATGTGAATGACATCCCAAGCCAGAGAGACCCCCATTTCACACCAGTGACAGCTGTAGGAATACCCCATCATTCCCTGAATACACTCCCTGAACACACCATCGCTCCCTGATGTACTAAGTGCCATTATACATTACTTTACCCTGTGCACTCACCTTGCTGTTGGCATCCTCACTGGTCACTCATCCTGTCCATGTGATCTTTTCCTGACCTCAACTCTACGTGCCTAGGTCTTCACTGCAAAACTCACACCCTTCCCTCCAACCCAAGTCTGTCTCCATCTGTCTCTATTCAGTCTCCTACTGAACACCCCATTTTACTTCTAGCTTCTTCCTCTGCCCCTACACATCCCACTGATCAAGAGGCAGTAGAGTATAAAAATAAGACCACAGGCTTTGGAGTCAGGTGTGGGTTCAAATTCTGGCTTCACCTCTTTAATTCATGTGTCATCATGTGGAAGTGATTAGCTTACCTGGCCTCAGTTTCCTGTACTGGGCCAGGTGCGGTGGCTCACATCTGTAATCCCAGCACTTTGGGAGACCAAGGCAGGCAGATAACCTGAGGTCAGGAGTTCAAGACCAGCCTGGCCAATATGGTGAAACCCTGGCTCTACTAAAAATACAAAAATTAGCCAGGTGTGGTGGCACCCGGGACTACAGTACCCCTGTAGTCCCAGCTACTTGGGAGGCTGAGGCAGGAAAATTGCTTGAACCCATGAGGTGGAGGTTACAGTGAGCCGAGATTGTGCCATTGCACTCCAGCCTGGGTGACAGAGCAAGACTCCATCTCAAAAAAAAAAAAAAAAAAAAGTCATCTTCTGAAGATTAGGACAATAATACCCATCTCATAGGATCATTCAAATAATTAAGATAATGTATATAGCAATACAGGGCAAGCCCAGTGCTTGGCACACAGTTGGTATCCTTCATGTTCTCCCTCAGGAGATTTCTCTGTGACCCAGGTCCTTCAGAGGTTGTTTGCAGGCCTCTTATCAAATATCACTCTCCACCCATGCCCATTCCTCTCTCTGTGCCACATATCCATGCGACCCCCAGTTTCCATCACCTCTGCTTCCCAAACCCTCTTTAGTCAATAACTACTCATGAATGCTCATACCAAATGACGTGGAATTCACAGCCTAGTTGGAGAGCCAGTCACTGAATAAGTAACAAGTATGGTATAAGGTTTATTTATATATATATATATTTATTTATTTATTTTATTTTATTTTTTTTTGAGACGGAGTTTCGCTCTTATTACCCAGGCTGGAGTGCACTGGTGCACTCATGGCTCCTCTGCAATCCCCCCTCCTCAGCCTCCTGAGTAGCTGGAACCACAGGTACATGCAACCACACCTAGCTATTTTTTTGTAGAGATGGGGTCTCACTATGTTGCTCAGGCTGGTCTCAAACCCCTGGGCTCCAGCAATCCTCTGCCTCAGCATGAGCCAAATAATTGGCTGCACCTTTTTTCTTTCTTTTTTTTTTTTTTTTAGATGGAGTCTCACTTTTTCACCCAGGCTGGAGTGCAGTGGTGCAATCTCGGCTCACTGCAACCTCCGCCTCCCAGTTGAAGTGATTCTCTTGCCTCATCCTCCCAAATAGCTGGGTGTACAGGTGCCTGCCATCACACCCGGCTATTTTTTTTTTTAAAGACAGAGTCTCATTCTGTCGCCCAGGCTGGAGTGTAGTGGCACGATCTCAGCTCACTGCAACTTCTGCCTCCCGAGTTCAAGCGATTCTCCTGCCTCAGCCTCCTGAGGAGCTAGGACTACAGGCACCTGCCACCACGCCCAGCAAATTTTTATATTTTTAGTAGAGATGGGGTTTTACCATATTGGCCAGTCTGGTTTCTGCCCACCTCAGCCTCCCAAAGTGCTGGGATTATAGGCGTGAGCCACCACGCCCGGCCTGCACCTTCATTTGTTAAATCCTCCCCCATATCTGTCTCCCAGGCAGCTCTTTGCTTCTTTTACACAGGCAGTATAGCCTGGCATTAGGAGAACAGGCTTTAACACTGGACAGATCTGGGTTTCAGTGCTGGCTCTGTCACTTACTGACTGCGTGGTCTTGTGCAAGTTATTTTAATTTTCTGGGTTACAGTTCCTTATGCTGTATGTGAAAAGGGAAACAATGCCTAATTCATTGGGTTGCTGCAGGGATTAAATAAAGCACTTAGCAGTAAGTAGCACAAAATTTCCAATAAATGGTAACCCATAATTATGATTTATTGCTTGTATGATAGTTTTCTTCCTTATTTCCTTTCCATTACCTGGCCCTCCCTTACCTCCAGCCAGATTCCCTCACCAACCCCTTCTATTTTTCTATTCTTCTTTCCTCTGTTCATTTGAACCCACTGAATGCCCCATCCCCTCTGCCTTGATCCCTGACCTTGGCCTCTTCCCCCAGGGCTTGTCAGTGCCAGGCTGGCTCCAGTATTGGCAGATTGGCCCCCTACAGAGCCCATCTCCTCTGATCCTGTCTATTCTGTCTGCTTTCATAACATCACCCCTTCATACCCATTCAGTCCCTCTTCCCTCTGTGGCTAATGCTATATGCAGCTCCTCTGGCTCAGAGGGGCTCAGTCCTGTTTGAAATAACTGCATAGTAGATATTTCCAGGAGAGCTAAACGGCTTTCATCAAAGGCCATCTGATGTTTCTACCTAAGTATGCCATACAAAATCTCCTTCCAAGACAGCTGCTCCTCTCCCACATCCATATTCCCAGTCTGCCTCTCTGTTCCTCTATTGCCCCAAACACTGAAGTCCTTTTCATTCCTGCTAGTGTCTTTCCCAGCCTCTCTTCCTCCAGCTTCTGCTTCTTGAGTGTGGGTACGTTTCTCAGAGAGGGGAACTAGAACTTGGGGGGTTAAGGATAAGAAGGGAAAACAAGAAAGTACAAATTATACACACATCCCCTTTAGGAGCCAAAATACAAACACAAACATAAGACAACACCACAGTTGCCTACCTTGGGGCCTGTATATGCCCATTTGTCTCCTGAAAGGCAAGAGCCATGCAACAGAAATTGACTGGGGCTTGGGACAAGCTATTGATCTAGATCAAGGACACTGTGTAGTTGGTATATGCTGGGGGTTGGGGTGGGTATCTGGAATGGGAACAAGGACACATGGAACAGGCCTAGGGGCTGAAGCAGAGTGTCCTTCTCCCACCCCCACACTTCCACTCAAGCCCCCCAGCCCCCAATGCAGCTATAACTTGGGCTCTTCTCTGCCACAGTGGAGAGAAGCATCTGCCTGCCACATGACATTCAACAGACCTGATTCTCTCCAAAAGAGAAGTCCCCCATATGGGAATCCAGCTGGATTCCTGTGAGGGAAGACCCTTGAAGAAGCCAGCCTGGAGTTGTGGTAAAAAGCCCCAGAAGAGGAGAGGAGTCCTGTGGACTGCAGGCTGCTTCTGGCAGAAGGAGTTTCCTCTCTTACCCTTAATCTAAAGCCTTAGTTTCAATTCTGCCAAGCAAAGTGGGGGACTGCAAGTCTTCTCTTCTGGAGTCCACAATGGAGCCTGCCAGGGAGACAAGTTATCCTTCTGTTCTGGACATCCAAGGGTGACTTTAAGGAGGATGCCTGGAGGACATGGGGAGAAGGTGAGAAGGGTTAAGCTGGCAGAAAGGGGAAGGCAAGCATCTGCAGCACTTAAAAGGACAGTGCCTCCTGAACAGACCTCAGCAGCCTTGTGGAGTGATCTGGAAAGGTTAGGAGTCTGTTGGAAAGGTAAAGCAGGATGTACAAGCCCTTTGCCCCCACCCTGGAAAGCCTCAGAGCAGCTGGAATATGGTTGAAGACAGCAGGTGGCAATTTTGATGAGGAGCTGCTGACATGGCTGATCCTCTGGGCACTGGGGCCGTGATATCAGGGTGAGAAGCTCCATGTGGGAGGTCTAGGGAATGATAGGTGCCCGGATATGGAGCCCTGCCAGGTAGTCTTCCTGGTTTAGGCCAACGTGATCCAGCAAGGGCCAGGCGCTGATAGAGGAGGAGCTGAGGCAGGGATGACACGTAGGACGATAAGCAAGAGCTGGCTGCCTCAGGAGATGAAGAGCAGGGGTTAGTACCCTTTCTCAAGGAGATGGCTCTCCATCTAGACATGATTGGTGCCTGGTCTGCTCTTTCTTTGTAATTGGGAGGAAAGCAGATGACCCCCAAAGCTCTCCTGCCTGCTTCTGTGTGATATGTTTGATATTGGGTTGTTTAATTAGGAACCAACTAAATGTCAAACATATTCTTACAGCAGCAGGTGACTCAGCACCACCCTCTTTCATAATTCAATCTCGGATGCTCCGGTCTCTTTGACCGAACCTCTTCTCTCAAGGACCCCACGAAAGCCCAGGAGCTGTAACCTACGTGGATTTCAATCTTAACCTAAGAGGGCTGGTGTGGGAGTGGGAGAGAGTGGAATTCGAGGATCAAATCTTTCTATATCTTGTCCCCTTATACTAGAAGGGACATATCTCTTATATTTATCATTTCTTGTTATTGCATTTTTCTCCTCCTTATTAACTTACCCACACCCAAAGGAGACTTGATTTCTCCTCTCTCCATTGAGAGTCAGCTGATGGTCTATCTGCCTATCTGCCTGTAGTGACTGGAAGCTCTCAAGAGTGGACTCCAGCTCTGCTCTACCCACTGGCCTGGTGGGCGTCTCGGTTCCCCAACTGCTGGGGTTTAGCATTAACACTCACTATCCTCGACATAAATGACTAACTAGAGCCATTTATAGTCATCCAATATATCTGGTCACATTGAAAACTGCCCACCTCTCCTCTCCTCTGGCATATTTTCAGGTGTATAGTGCCAGTGGATTGGTATCTTTTGCTACCTGTTAGTAACAAGGCTCCCAGTGGAAGAATAAACATGGTCTGGAACTAAACTGGGAAGAATAGAGCTGATAATGATGATTATTGGAGATGTGGTGGGCAGCAGCACTGGGGAGAATTAAGAAGGGGAAAAAAGGGAAGAAGACGAGAGAGCCACACAGACCTGGTCTGTGTGGGTACAAAAGTTCTATTTTAAGATTACTATTGGAAAACAGACGGCATGATCCTGTCTGGATTGTTCTGACCCTCCCCTGTTTCTCTCCCCACCCCACTTGAAGCTCTGGGATAGCCTTCGAGATTCCAACCCTACCCTCTTACTCTACTCTTGTGGCTCTTAGTGGGGAGGAAAAATGTCTCCCTGCCAATTAGAGACTCCCAAAATAGCACAGCAATTTGATCTGGGGATCTGGGAGAATTGTCAAGGATCATGAGTGACCTCCCCTCTTCCCTGTTGCCCAAGCTCCTTGAATACCAGTAATCAAAAGATAAAACTCAACTAATGGAGTTTGACCAGCATCCAACACAGTCTGGGGGAGAGTGAAAGGGGAAGCTGAAAGGCAACCAGGACCCTCTGCATGCAAACTGCCAAGCTAGAATTGCCAAAGTATCCTTCTCTATTTCAATGTTCTTCCCTCCCCTCTTCCTGCTCTTTTAAAACATCCATAGAGCTGCCCAGAATGAGTGGAAAATTTCAGGGTCAGGGAGAACCTCTTCCCTCCCCCACTTTCCATTGTCTAAAATCAGCCTCAGCTGTTCCTAGATATTTTTTTGCTGGTGATGTCAGTCCATCAAAGCATCTCACCCTGTGTTCCCCCAGGAGAACAATGATGGGGTGGAGGGAGCTTTTAGAAAGACCATATTAGGAACAAAAGGTGGAGCTATAAGCACAGATAAAGACTCAAGTCTGGGAACTCCTGGTCACGCAGGCAACAGCCCCTTCTTTCTTGCTGTAGTCTTCAGTTTTCCAGTGTTCACAGGTGAGCCTACCAACAGCCACTGCTCATGATGGAGGCCATCAAGAAAAAGATGCAGATGCTGAAGTTAGACAAGGAGAATGCTCTGGATCGGGCAGAGCAAGCTGAAGCTGAGCAGAAGCAGGCAGAAGAAAGAAGTAAACAGGTAGGCACTAGCATTGGTCTTACCTTCTAGTGAACAAGACCATGAGATGGAAGGGAGTGTTCATGGGAAAGACAGTGACTACTGGTATCACCTCGTTTTTGGGGTGGGATGGACTCCCCAGCCTCAAGAGGACATGTAACATATCTAAGACTGCCTTTGTGACCTTGGGAAAGTCAGTGGCCTCCTCTGAGCCACAGTGTGTCTGTTGAATTTAAGTAGAAATGGACCATCTTCTGGAAGAACCCTTGACTTCTAGAGGAAAAGGTAAGAGTTCTAGAGGGAAAGAGCATCTCTTTTGACTCAGGATCACGAGCATCTACACCTTTAGACATTTACTCTCCAAGGGTCTTGGATGAAATCCCAGGATGGCTTAGTCATCTTAGGTTCAGCTATTACAGGGTCATAAGCCAAGCTACAGAGTAACTCCTGAGGCAGTGGGCTGGAAGTGGCTGGGGAGAAAGTGTGTCTCGGGATGGTAACATGGAGGCTACACTCAGGGCTCCAAGAGCCCAGGGTCCAACCCTGCACTGTTGTTTGTGTGTTTTTGTGTGTGACTCTCTGGGCTCCTATAGCTGGAGGATGAGCTGGCAGCCATGCAGAAGAAGTTGAAAGGGACAGAGGATGAGCTGGACAAGTATTCTGAAGCTCTGAAGGATGCCCAGGAGAAGCTGGAGCTGGCAGAGAAGAAGGCTGCTGATGTGAGTATTAGAGAGATGGAGGTTGGGTTTAATCTACACATATAGATCTTTATATTAATGTATGACCAAATGCCAAACACACTTGTGGGTTCATGGAACCCAGACATATATACCCACATAAATTTTTGCATATAACCACATGCTGGTATATTCGTACAATGGCATATATTTTCTTTCTTTCTTTTTTTTTTTTTTTTAAGACAGGGTTTCACCATGTTGGCTAGGCTGGTCTTGAACTCCTAACCTCAGGGGATCCACCCGCCTCGGCCTCCCAAAGTGCTGAGATTACAAGCGTGAGCCACCACGCCCGGCCTATTTTCTTTCTTAAAGACATCTCCGACATGTGAAAAGTTTTTTTTAAAAAATATATGTAAAAGTCTCATTTTCCTCCTATCACCAGCCCAGGAATTTAATTATCTTTCCCAGGATCTGAACAAAGAGAGGGGACTCTAAGTTCAGAATGCTATCAATTATCCTACCTCCTCCCCCATGCCACATTCTTAGCTTTTATATCCAAGTCTTGGCATGTGGATATGTGTATTAATAGGGAACTTCTCAGCTCTCAACTGTCCAACAAAACCAGCTCAGATTTCACAATGGGAAATGGAGGTCACGCTGACCCTGGCCCTATATGGGTTTATTTATCTTGGCCAATGTGGGCATTTGCCTTTATGCCATAGAGATGCCATACAAAGTATCACTTATAGGGCAGCAGAGAGATCCCTACAGCGACAGACTATAATAGAAACTAAGAAGGAATCTTAGGGGGTAAAGGTATCACCACCAGACTTCACTCTATGACCTTGACTCTATGACTCAGCTTATCTAGGGCTGCATTTTCCCATTCTAAAATAAAATAAATTCTCTTTTCCATGTCATATTATCCCTACTTTTTTTCATCTTCAACTTTGAAGTCTGCCACAAAGATAAATGAGAGGCTAGATAGAAAATTTTTTTTAGAAGAAAAGTACCATAGGAATCTTACCAACAATAAAAAAAAGTCCCAGTATTGGTGGAAACAAGTTTCTCAGTGAACTGAGTTAATAGGAAAAAAGGGGCATGTAATATTTAAAATCATATTTGGGATGGGCACAAGGGCACATGACTGTAATCCCAACACTTTGGGAGGCCGAGGCAAGCAGATCACCCAAGGTCAGGAGTTCGAGACCAGCCTGGCCAACATGGCGAAACCCTGTCTCTACCAAAAATGCAAAATTAGCCAGGCATGGTGGCAAGCACCTGTAATCCCAGCTACTCTGGAGGCTGAGGCAGGAGAATTGCTTGAACTCTGGAGGTGGAGGTTGCAGTGAGCCAAGATTGTGCCACTGCATTCCAGCCTGGGCAACAGAGAGAGAACCCATCTCAATAAATAAATAAATAATATCACATTTGGTTTTGGAAAATAGCTAGAAGGACAGACAGAGTGGACCATTTATAAATGCTTTTGGATCCTCATGTTTAGTCCCTCTGCTATTAGGTTTCAAAAAGAAATCTAACAGCAGAAAACTGCAAACAAAAAAACTCTACCAAATCCACAGGTTACCCCCAGGGCTTTGGGCAAGTGGATGGCCTATTGGTATTATATAGCCTAGGTTCCTAGTATATTTGGATGGATCTCTCTGTTTCTAACATATGGGCATGAAGACAGAAGTTTTCACAAACTAGCACAATGTCAGGTTAATAACAGTTTTGTGGTAACACCAATCTGGGTCTGTCCATAGGCTGAAACAGCTAGTATGTGGGCTTGAGGAGGTGTTTCCAGGAGCAAGAAAAAGAACAAACAAGTCTAACGTGAGATCATGAGAAGGAGAATGACCTAGAAGCTCTATGTAATATATCAAAATCATTAGGAATTTAAAAGGACTTCCTGAAGATGAATTCTGTCTGTCTTAATCTGTTTTACATATGTACAGACACACATACACACACATAGCATCCCTCATCTAGGTATGGTCTACTCAATATATTCATTTGAAAGAAGAGTCTTCGCTGGGTGCGGTGGCTCACGTCTATAATCCCAGCACTTTGGGAGGCCGAGGCGGGTGGATCACTAGGTCAAGAGATCGAGACCATCCTGGTCAACGAGGTGAAACCCCGTCTCTACTAAAAATACAAAAATTAGCTGGGCATGGTAGTGCGTGCCTGTAGTCCCAGCTACTCGGGAGGCTGAGGCAGGAGAATTGCTTGAACCCAGAAGGCGGAGGTTGTGGCGAGCCGAGATCGTGCCATTGCACTCCAGTCTGGGTAACAACAGCGAAACTCCATCTCAAAAAAAAAAAAAAAAAAAGAAAGAAAGACGCGTCTTCATATTTATATCCACCAAAAACCATTTAAATATATAAAGTGAGGGTTAAGAATACTCATTCAACCCCTCTCCCCTTCGTTAGCTTTTCCAAGTCAGAAAGTACCCTCAGAGATATGCATAAGAACAAGAAACAGGAGAGGAAGGTTGTGGCCAGGAGCAAGCCAGAAGAAAGGTTTCTTTCCTCAAAGCTAGAGTCAGCAAACTACCACCTGTGGGTTAACTTTTGCAACAGCCTGTTTTTGTAAATAAAGTTTTATCAGAACACAGTCATGCTCATTCGTGTACATATTGTCTACTGGCTTTCTTTTCTCTCTGGCCACAAAGACCCTAAAAGTTTGATGACTCCTGCCTCAAAGGGTCAAGGAAGGATAGTACTGTTTTTATAGGAATCGGGAGAGGTGCTATAAGGAGCAACAAGGTTTAAAGCAGACAGCAAAGGTTAGAGTCATCAGCAGCATAATATATGCATCTTTGGAGGGAGTATATTCTGTCCAGTACAAAGGAAGTTAACAGCTCAGCTTCTGCCCTTGAGGTTAATAAATAAGTAAACAGAGCGTATTATCTTGATGTAGATATGAGGGGTAGAGAGGGAGGAGGGAGTCAATAACTATGAGTTTACACAGGCAGTTCTGGTTATCTGAGAAGCCTTTCTGAAAAGTGTAGGATTTGCTAGGACTGTTTGAACAAAGAAAGGGCAAGGGTATGGCAAGGTGAGTTCAAACATTTGTTTTTTTCCTCCGTAAGTTTGTCTAAACTTTTTTCCTAAGTTGTGGTAAAATACACATACATAAAACTTACCATTTTAACAATGTTTAAATGTCGAATTCAGTAGTAGTATATTCACATTGTTGTGCAACCACATCTAAGATCATTTTAATCTGAGATGAAATTAGACGGTGTTTAGGGAGAAACAAAGGGAAAGAAGAGTCCATTGTTAGGACATAGAGTCATAACACCATTTTTTAGGGACAGGTGGTGGGAGGGATGGCGAGAGAAGGGATAAGAATGGACATATACACCTGTTGATATATTGTATTGCTGGTTACTAGGAAAACAATAGCACTGGGCCCCTTGCTGGCTATCCATTGTGCCTCTAAAGGCTATCAGGAGTCAGTCCATCTGTTTCCCTGGATCAAGAGGAGATTATCTGCTAAAATCTACCAGTCTCAGGAATGCAGTGGTGCTCTCAACACTCTTTTGGTTTGTCTAGGATGAGTTCTTCTGCTTCTTTGCCAGGGCACAGGGAGCTACAATAGTGCCCCCTGCTGATCAGCACCCAGATGACAAAGTGTCACTTCTTCCACAGTCTTGATCAAACTTCTCCAAAGTAAGTTAGAAAAATTCTCAGGCCATCAGGGTAGAGTTTTTATTACAAGTCAGAACCCTGACCTTCCTTCCTAATTTCTGGGGAAAAAAATCAGTGTGCAGGTTACTCTATTAAGAAAATTATTGTCTATTCAAGTTCTTTCTTCTAAATAGTCTCATTGCTCAGTATTTCCAAAAAGAGACAGGAAGACAGAAGCTCTGGAGGGAGCATTCTCAGAAATAGACATTGAGGGCAGCAACTGTCTTGCCCACAATTCCTTTTAGGGGTTAGGACTCTTCATTATAAGTCCTGTTCCATGTCCTAATTTTCTTTTTGTATTTTATTTTATTTTTGAGACGGAGTTTCACTGTTGTCACCCAGACTGGAGTGCAATGGCACGATCTCGGCTCGCCACAACCTCCGCCTTCTGGGTTCAAGCAATTCTCCTGCCTCAGCCTCCCGAGTAGCTGGGACTACAGGGGCGCACCACCATGCCCAGCTAATTTTTGTATTTTTAGTAGAGACGGGGTTTCACCTTGTTGACCAGGATGGTCTGGATCTCTTGACCTCGTGATCCACCCGCCTCGGCCTCCCAAAGTGCTGGGATTATAGGCGTGAGCCACCGCGCCCGGCCCCCTTGTCCTAATTTTCTAGGAGAAAAGAGAGCTGCCCCAGAGGAAAGATGTATCATTATTACCTACTAGGATGGTGGGAGGAATACAAAGAAATAAGAGGGAAGATAACATTCTCAAGTCTCTTTACTATTGTGCTTCCAGAAATCCTACATGGCTGTGCCTGTAGGGAGTTTCTTTTTTTCCTGTTACGCTTTATTTTTGAAACAGAGTCTTACTCTGTCACCCAGTCTGGAGTGCAGTAGCACCATCTCAGCTCAGTGCAACCACTGCTTCCTGGGTTCAGGCAATTCTGCCTCAGCCTCCCCAAGTAGCTGGAACTACAGGTGCATACCACCATGCCTGGATAATTTTTGTATTTTTAGTAGAGATGCGGTTTCTCCATGTTTGCCAGGCTGGTCTCAAACTCCTGACCTCAGGTGATCTGCCTGCCTTGGCCTCCCAAAGTGCTGGGATTACAGGCCACATCTGGCCACGGGGAAGTTTCTAACTCATAAATAGTTCCTGGGGGTACTTGGAAGTACAGTGGCAGTGAAATTGGTGAAAGTTATAACACAAAATGGAGGTTTAATTCTACAGTACAGTTTATAGGCACTCGTGTCTGGTTGTTGTATGAAGGATCTGGTAACAGTCATCTGTTTTTTCTTTCTGTTTTTGAGAGAGGCTCTCAATCTGTCACTGAGGCTGGAAGCAGTGGTGCAGTCTGGGCTCACTGCAACCTCTGCCTTCCCAGCTCAAGAAATCTTCTCACCTCAGC